CCAGGTACCGCTGCGGGAAGGTCTCGTTGCCGTAGGTCTCGAAGTTGAAGTGGTCCCGCACCTGCGGAAAGAGCCGCTCCTCCAGGCCGGGCCACACGACCCGGGCAGCTGGAGGGGGCACCATCAGCACAGGGGAAACCGACAACAGGCGCTGTCAGCCGGTACGGCACAACCCAGCCTGGGAACTGGGACCCGAGGAGCTCGGAGCGCCCTCCCGGTGGTCCCCAGGCTGGCTGAGGGCTCCGGCCCAGCGAGGCTAGCTCGGGGTCCTGCCCACGACCTGGAAAAGCTAGTTGAGGGTCCCGTCCATGGGAGGGCCGGGGTCTGGCCAAGGAAGGAGGAGGTCAGGCAGAGTGGTCCAGCCCGAGGAGCGGGGGGAACAGGCAGAAGGGTCCGGCCCGAAACACCCACCGGGAGCGGCGCGGGCGGACGGCAGCGGCGGGAGCAGCAGCAGCGGCAGGAGCAGCAGCAGCGCCGACTCCATAGCAGCCACTGCACCGGCACAGCGCAGGCACCGGTCACGTGACCCACAACTCCGGGATCATGTGGTGACCCAGCGTCCCTTCACGTGACCACGCGAACGCCACACCCGCCGCGGGTCCCTTATGGCGGCTTGACCCGGTGGGTTCGCTACTCAACGGGCCATGCCGTGCCTCGCCTCGCCTCGCCTCGCCTCGCCTCCGGGGGGCCACTTCCCCTAGTACAAAGGCTAAAATGGTAGCAGATGTGGGAAGCTAGTTCTGTAATTTGCTCCTCTGGTAAAGATTATGTGGCCACTCCATGCTGTGTACACTCAGGTCCGAGCTAGGAGAAGGGCACGTCTCCTCCTCGATCAGGTGTTTGTTGTGGTCCCTCCCAAGCACAGGTTCGTGCCGTTGCATAAAAAGCAGAACCAGGGAGCTGAGTCCGCAGCGAAGGAGGTATGCTTTTCTTCTGTTGAATTAATTTTCTGAGGGATTGGTCTTCAGGTCTGGCTCACAAGAGAGTCCGTGCAGAGGCCTTTGCCAGCCCAGGAGGGAAGGCAGGGGCAGCTGAAGCAGTGGAAGGTGAGGCTGTGCTTTCAAGCAACAGCTGGATATCTTCAGGGCTGTGGAATTGGTGTACCCCAGGAGAACACTATGGGACAGGTCTCTTGTTTTGATTCGCTCTGATGCTAAGAGTCACCTTACAGACTCACTCGGTGAGGTGGGTATTTGCTTTGTTTGGTGCCGGGTACATGGGGGATTGCTCCTCCTAACACACTCAGCACTTTTACACAGCACAATATATGGCTAAATTTCATGCATATTCATTACATAACTTGGGATTGGAGTGGTGATATAAATTACTTCTCAGAAATCATTAATGTCATTAGCATACGTCATGCGCAAGCACAGTCTACTCTGGGGGTCCCACTGAGGAAGGCTCCGAGTCTTCCTCAGTGGTTGTGCTGATGAAGGCTGGTAGTCTTCCTCACTTTGCACTTTTAATCTTTCTTTCTGAAGCATGTGCAGTCCTTTGCTGGCTGGTTCAGAGTTTTCTGCTGATAATAGGTTTTGTTCCTCTTACCTTGACAAGGTGCATTCTGTGTCTCTTATCTTGAGAAGGATAAGGTGCATCCTGCTTCTTAGGCTTGTAAGTAATATTTGCTGATTTAATAGTTAACTCATGCTTACATGAGTTAACTATTGATCGACTTCTTTCACCTTCAGTGAGATTATGATAAGAAAGGCTGCAGTGTCTGACTGAGAGAAACTTTGGTTTGGCATGGTGGACATCAGGAGAAAGGTTTGACCTTGTCTTTTGCTATCCCTGTAAAGTGCTGGGTGGATGTTTCCGGGGCCGTGCTAGCTGCTGCCTTAAGCCAGAGCTCAGCATGAAGACATTGGAGGGACAGAGAAGCCATGTCCCTGTGGAGTGCAGGGAGCTGGGAGTGGCACAGCGCTGAGTCTTGTGTTTGGGAGGCATCGTGCAGGTTTGTGCCAGCTGGGTGACCAAGCAGTAACATAAATGTGCAGGCTTGTCAAAAACTGCACAAAGCGGTGTTACAGCACCAGCCTCCTGAAAAGATTCTTCAGGAGGTCAGGTTTGGAGGCACTGTAACAATGACATGGCAGTTCACTGAGGAGTGATGTGACTGCACTGCTCAGCAGGGCAAGCTGCGCAGGAAGCTGGGGCTGTGCTGCACAGAGCCTGTCCAGCATGAGACTGGCTCTGGTGGCCACCCTGCTCTCTGGAGTGACTCTGTACAGAGGTAGCGGACTGTGGACCCTGCAGCCTCAGGAGGTGCCATGGTCAGTGCTCTGTGGTGCACCAAAACTGCAAGTGCACTTGGTTGCAGACTGCTGCCAGGACCTGCAGCACCGTGCTTTAGGCAGGAGTGGGCACACGTGAAAGGGACCACCTGGCAGCTCTGTAGCCTGAGGAGGGAGGGTGTCAGTGAGTGCTGGTGAGGGACTCTGCCCCCCAAAATTAAACTTTCACTGTTGACTTTTCTTAACTTGAGCAGTCAATGCACTTCTGGCAAGTGTCCATTGCTTTGAATTTACTCTGAAAATAATGCCTCCTTGTGTTGTTTGGGAGTAGCATATGGTTGGGCCATACATGAGAGCTTCAGTGCGACTTTGTTGTGTTTTGCAGGAGAATGACAGATCCATCTCTGAGTAAGATTCAGAGATACCAAAAGCTAGGGGTGATTTTTGTAATGGGAAAATGGGAACTTGCCTGTGGGCAGGAGTGGATGGGCTGGTGGTGACAGAGGGGCTGTCCCTGCCAGGAGTGGATTTTTGGGCAGAGCAGCCAGTGAGCACGTGTTATGCAGGCATAAGGCCAGAATCTTCCTGCACATGCTACCCCTACAAGAGTGTGGCAGGACATCCCCCCTGCCACAGAAGATCTTATCTGTAGCTAGTGTGTCAGCTCTGGATACTCGCCCCTCCACATCACGTGATGAGATAACCCAGGCCAGCTCACAAGCTAGTGAGTTATTTCTCTCTCTGGCACCAGGAGTAGAACTCCCAGTAAACAACTGGGCGTGAGAACAGATGTGGGGAGATAAGCTAGAAATTCCTGACTGAAAGACACTACTTTTACAACTATAAAAGCTGCACGAATTTTTGTGGAGGTAGAAACCTCCTACATACTCCCTGGAAACGTGCAGGGACTTCTGTCTGGAGTTTGGATGCGAATTCCATGGGTACTTTCCTGGGAATTGAGAGGAAGAATTAGATGTGTACTCCATCATCCATTTAGTGGTAAATTACATTGAATCTTAATCTATAGTACGTCTTTACTAGATGTAATATAGGTACCTTTATAATGCACTGTGTTTTATCTACTAGTAGTTCTTTTATTTCTGTGTAGTAAGTAGCCTGTTTAAAGTCTCATCAGTGTCCTTTGCAAGCAAAATTTAAACATTGAATGTTTCTGTGTAGTAAGAGGAGAAGCTAGAGGTGAGCAGAGAAAGAGGATTTAGCACTTTTAGCTAGTTTATAGCTGAGTATATCAGCACCTGCTTATACATCTCTGCAGAGAAGTCTCTGGTAGTACCATGGACCTCTGACAAGCTACTCCTGGAAGACAGCATCAGCAGCAGATGGGTGAGATACAGCATAGTGCTCTGGGACCTTGGTCCTGGTGAGGGCATGTGAATCTTATTGGAAGTAGCAGAAAAACAAGACAGAGCTCCTGGAGAGGGAAAAGTAACTATGGGGCTTTCAGAGTGCACTTCTCTGCTCAGACACACTCTTTCTTGTGTAACTGAAAAGAAGTAAACTGAGACAGGACCTAGTGAGTGGGGAGATGCAAACCCTCAGGTTTATTTCTTAGCACACTGTTTCTTACTACTGCTGCGGCGGGCTGAGTGACCTCCTCATTTTTCTCACCCACAAGGTTTGGATTCTGTCTTGTAGGGCTGGAGCTGCCCTTCATACATATCTGTGCAATATACAGTGAAATAAACCTGGGACCATTAGAAACATAACACAAAGAAATACTCTATTTCTGCTGTCTCTCTATTCCTGCAGTGAAGAGTTAGTACTTGGCTCTCCTCTGTCAGCTGTGGCGAGGAGTCCAGCAGCACAAATGCAGGAAGAAGAGACCCAGTTCTGCTACTAGTCAAATACAATACATGAACCAGGTGAACTGTGTCCACCCACCAGCAGATAGCTCACCCTCAAACACTACTGGAAACAAGATAAAGTGGAAGGTACTGGCACTGTTCACGATGGCCACATGTGCAAGGCTTGACTTGGAACTGCTGTACCATGTGTACTGTGTCTTGGTACCACACGTGCTGCTGAACAGGCTGTTTTGCATACAGCTCTTGGTCCACAGCAGCTAATGAGATCTAGAAACATGCCCTGGAAGAATGGCTAAAGATGGCTCTGGGCCCAGCTGCAGCTGTGTCCTGGTGGGAAGTGCTGAGCAACTCTGCTGTGGTTCCAGGAGCTGGGGTCCCACCTGAGGTCCTGGAACATGTGGGAAAAGAAGGGGGAAACTGGTAGTGCTGACAGCGCTGTGCTGGAAGCTCAGTCTTTTCCATGCTATTCTATGTTGTGGCTCCATCACAGCCCGCAGGGAGATTGGGATGGGTCAGGAATTGAGTGCCTTTTGGATGGCTCTTGGGTCCAGTAGAAAGAGGCTGCATGCATATTGGAGTCTTCACATACATGGATTATACTGGAGCTTAGCAGTAATTACCATTTAAGTAATAATATCAGAGAGCTTTACTGAGGTGCACCTGGTCTTTAAATCAAGGTAACACACTTTTCAGAAGAAGGTGCTTGGGCTCAGTCTGCATCAGTGGGGCTGCTGAAGGTAGTCAGGGTGAGAGAGGGTCAGGTGCTTACAGGAGCTCAAACCTGATACAGATATCTTCTGGCTTCAAACATCCTGCTCTAGTCAGAAGGCACAACCTGTAATATCCTTTCTGGTCCATTTTTGTCCCCAAACAACATTGTTTTGTGTCTTCTGTTGGTGGGTGAGTGGCACCTCTTGGATCTAATCAGGCACCCTGTCACCATGTTAAACTGGCCTGAACTTCATTTCGGTTCGCTTGTAGGAGTAGTGGTATTCTTTACCTGTCTTCCAGTTGATCCCATCAGCGTAGCTCCCATGCACACCCATCCAGTACATGCCATTCAGGTTGGAGTAATGGCAGTCATTGTACCACCATGCTCCCTTGTATTCTGTGGCACAGTTGAAGGAACTCATGTCATTGTCCTGATCTGTTGTTGAAAATGGCATGTCCCTGTGATACGATAAAGAGTCCCCTGCAGAGAGCACACATTCACAGTTACTGCAGTAGGGATCACAAACAGGACACTGATGTGTCTGTGCACCCCTGCTGGGCACCAGTGGCCCTTCCCAGGTGTAAGGCAGGTTGTATAAAGCCTGCTGCTCTCTTGCCCAGGTTTCTTCCTCATCTTGGACAAAAGTATCTTGAGCTCTGCTAAAACACATGGAGAATTTATCTATACCTGTGAATCAAATAGGCCAGATTCTTTTCACAGGTACACAGGTGTCACTTCTTTTGCAGTGCTCAGGTTCTCTGCAGATACACTGAGGTCTGAATTACCAGACAGGGTTGCAAAGCCACATAAACCTAGAGCACTGCTCTCTCAGGTGTTGGTTTCACTCATTCCTGAATGATGGATATTGAATTTTGAAGATTTGTTTACTTAAAAAAAAATTAAAAATCAGGTATTAAGAGGATGGAGTGCTGATGCTGCAGGTATTGAACAGCACCCCAGCCTTTGAAATGCCAGAACCTCCTGGGCAAATGTCTCCTGCCAATGTAACCAAAAGCAGACCTTGACCTGGCTGATGCAGAACTGTTGGGAAGGTAAATTGGTTTGGGTGCTGCTCAGGACCAGACTCATTTGCTGTTAAACCATAGGGCTGGGCCTGAAGGTAATGCTCTGAGTCACATTTCTTTGGGTGATGCATGTCCCCCTCCACCCCTGTACCCAGAGGTCACTCAGTACCTGAGATACCATGGCCAGTTTTAAAAAATTACCCAAAATGTAGCTGATACAAGGAGTGTGCATGATACATCTCTGCATAGAAGCTGAACATTTCTAAAATGCTCTAGGAAACAGACTTTCCCAGTGAGCTGCCTCAAACTTACCAGCGTTTCCACCAAGGAAGTCTCCTAGAACCAGTCTGTATTTCTCTGACTCTCCTAAAACTCTGAATGAAGCATACTTGGCAAAATAGTAGTTGTTCTCAAAGTCTCTGAGGTCAACGCGGAGTTCACAGGGTCCTAGAAGAGAAGATGGATAGCAGTGGTGCAGGACAGATGGTGGGTGTGCCACTGGATTTCAGAGTGGAGGGTTTAAGGTGCTGTGAGCTAACTTGAAAGGAGCTGCCTCTACTTGGGAGATTTTGATTTACTTAAAATTCCTGCAGAGCCTCCTATACCTTTGATGGTTTTCTAGGGGAAGCACCTTTTCAGATATTGGGTGGTCATGGGCAGGAGTCCTGCACACAGCTGTAACTCCAAGGCTGTGTGTGGACCAGATGATGCCATCACAAACAGTCCAAGTAGGAAGATGTATTGACCTGTCTCCTGGGTAGATCATGCAGTGAGCTCATTCTCTTCCCTGACTTCTAGTTTTGCTTTTTTTTAGAGTGAAGTTTCCTGTATGCAGTAGGCTGCAAGAGCCTGCATCCTGTTTGGGATTAACAGTGGGAGCCTGAGATGAATATGAGAAACTCAGGTCTGCAATGACTCCATGTGGTATAGGGGTTGGACTCTCATGGCCCCAGCCCGGGACAGAGGCAGACCTTACCCAGTGAGGTGAGGAAGTGGATGTTGTCATTCCCCATCCAGAACTCTGTCAGCTGGTTGCCAAAGCCTCTTTTGTACGAATCCCAATCTCTCAAGAAGTTCACTGACCCATCCCAGCGCCTCTGAAAAACCTGAAAGAGACCCTCAGTCCCATCCCTCACTCAAAGGCATCCACAGCACCTGGGGGACATGCCACCATGGTAAATGCTTCCCCTGCATCAGGACACTCTTGTGGGTGTCTGGGGAGAAAACCCCACAAGAATCCCTTGCTCGATGATTTCTTCCATATGCCCTTGGAAATGAGAAGGAAATTATTTACTGATTTAAGCAAGGAGTGGGTCTGTGGCACTCAGCCTGCTTCCAGAGACAAGTCTTGGGGGAATCCCCTGTGTCCAGAGGGATTCACTCTGGCTTGCAGACATGAACTTCAGTTGTGTGTTTCTATTTTTGAGCTGTCCTTTGCAGCCTTAACAAGAATCTCTGTAGGAACATGTAAACCTCCCTCTCCTCATCCTACTCACAATCCATCCCCCACCATCCGTGTCCATGTCGCAGAAGACGGTGGTGGCATTGCAGTCTTGGGGGTAGATTGTGTACCAGCCACTTAAAATCTTCCCTTTGGCCAACAGTTCTTGGCAGTTCCCCGGTTCTGTGCAAATCAAAGAGATCAAGTGGAAAGAATTATAATGTGTTTACTGATCAGGGGAGCACATCAGCCCTGAGCCTTTGAGCGTTCACCAGCCAGCTGGCTCTTTTTACTGCAGGATCCTAATGTAGAGCTTCTGGGCTCATATGTTGTAGGGGAGATGGGCACCTTCCAAGAAAGATGGTCTAAGGTGCTGAGACTCCTGTCATCTGTAATGACTTTTGGGGATCTGGATGATGGAGCTGCTCTGGAAAAGATGACAAACTCATGATCCAGAAATTTGTCCCAGCTCCAGAATATATGCAGGGCACAGAGAGTGGGTGGGTAGTTGATGGCAAAGGATTTAGTGACACAGGACAGCTCCCTGTGATGCAGTGAACAGTGTTCAGCTCATTATGGATTGAATCATAGAATCACCCATGGTTTGGGTTGGAAGGAACATTGAAGCTCATCTTGTTGCACCCCCTGCCATGGGCAGGGACACCTTCCAGTGTCCCAGGTTGCTCCAAATCTCATCCAAACCTGGCCTTGGACACTTCCAGGGATGGGCAGCTGCAGCTTCTCTGGCCAACTTGTGCCAGGGTCTTACCACCTTCTGCATAAAGAATCATCTCCTAATATCTAATCTAAATCTCTCCTCTTTTAGCTGTAAATCATTCTGTAAATCACACAGTGACAGTGTCCTGTCACTGCCCCTGCAACAAAAAAAATCACTCTCCAGCTTTTTTATAAGAATCCCTTAAGCACTGGAACACCACACTGAGGTCTCCCCAAGAAACACAATGCTTTTGAAATATATATATATATCTATATGTGTATATATATATATATCTATATGTGTGTATATATATATATATATATATATATGTCTTATGTATATATATATATGTCTTACGTATACTTTTTTCCCTCCCCAAAACCATACCTGCTGACAGAAGTTCTGATTCACAGGAGACTGAATGGTCCTTATCAGACATCCCAACCTACAGCTGCATCAGTAGCTGCTTTAGGGAAAACTTGGGGGGGATGATCAGAGATGGTGGTGCTGGTGGTGCATGTGTCTCAGTGTGCTGTGTGTGATACATGTATACACAGCTGTACCAGGCTGTCTTGTGACCTCCCTAGCAGGGAGATGCTCCTGGGCTTGGCCTTTTCCTTTTCCTTCCTATTAGTCAGATCTTTTATATGCCCATAAAAGTGTCTGGGGCAGCAAGGAACCAGTTCAGTGGCATCCCAATCTGTCAGGTGTTACAGGAGCTTTGATCTGTCTGAGCCTTTATTGTGGCCCTACATCACCCAGTTGTAGCCAGAGCAGGTTGTAGCTCTCCTCAAACTTTAGCTCATGGAGACAGATGGGACAACTGAAAATTGTTTCTTTTACTTTTCTTCTTTTTTTCCAGTGAATAAGTTAATCTGAGCACTGTCACACACATGAACTCCCCAAGTACTAAAGGTGTCACTGCAAGTACAGGAGTAGAACTGCCTTTGAAGTAGCCACATGTCTCTAACGGTGTTTGTAGTGGTTTCGTCTTAGAAATGGGGACACCAAGTGTGAAAAATTCAGATCAACATCCTCCAGGACACACGGAGGACAGGACATTTAAGTAGTGCTCAGAGTGCTGACTTTCCCAGCATGACTGGAGTACAGAGTGGACTCACAGAAGCTACATGTGTCCGTCAGAAGCAAAGATAACAATGATACTTCCTTATTCCATTCTTCAATGCCACTCTGAACTTGTTTCTGTTCCTATCCTCTCCTGACTTCTGGTGCAGGTAGTCCACCACCATCCTCTCTGTAAAGCTGACCAGTGTTGTGAAGACCTAGGATGAAACTTACCCCATATTTCTGGAAATCCAGGCTCTCCTTTTGTTCCTGTTGGATAAACAACACCATCAATTGCTCTCCACCTTCCACACCCAGTACTCCCCTTCGCAAGTACTTGAGATGTCATGACAAATCCTGCTGCACTGGAGAGCTGTTATGTTAGAAGTGCTTGACTCATCTGCACCAAGCAAATGAAAGGCATAGAGAAACCAGGCAGGAAGTGTTGCTCAGTATATAAGGTGTCCTGGCTGCTACCAGGCCCACCAGAGGAGACCCACCGGCCTATCTGCACACACCTAGGAAAGCACAGAGAGGCAGGTAGGAGGCCAAGTCACAAACCCTGTAACTACAGCAATGACACCCAGCTGCTTCAGACACTGGGAAGAGCTCTCCAGGTTGACCAGGAGGTACATGAGGTGGCCACTGGGGGGTGCACTATAAATATTAATTTTATATATATATATAAAATACCTATTTATGCACAAGGAGCAGCAGCCTTGCCTCTCTTGGCCTGTTGGACCTGGCATGATCTATTTCCTGCTGGCATCTGTTTTAGGGCTTAGAGGTCCAAATGGTGAGACTGACACAGGACATATCTCTGTTAGACCCAGCTGTTCTGCCTGCTGCTGCCCAGCCCATGGAGCTGTCTACCAACAGTTTGTGCCAGTGAGTCCCATTGGGCTAGGACATGTGGGATAGGAGTGGGTGTGTGTGAGAGGGAGGAAGCAATGCACCTTGGAAAGGCAGAGTTACAAGTCCCATCAGGGGAATGGCTGCTGCTGGCGCAGGGCTTCAGCCAGTGGTTTGGGAGCAGCAATGGCAACTGGAGCACTAGAATCATCTGCCAGACCAGTGGTGTTGGACCCAGTGATTTCCAGCCAAACTCCAGAGAGGGAAGCCACAGTGCAGATGGTGCTCAGTGGTGGGTGCCTGTGGCCCTCACATGCAGGATGATGGCATAAGGGAAAAAAACCGTTTCCCTAATGCCTTTTTGCTAGTGCTGGTAGAGATATGTTCCTCTTGCACTAGCAGCAACTGAATTTCATTTGAGCCTCTGCATTTTGCCATAGCATGAGAATATTAAGAGCTCTGCCCAAATCTGGCTCATCCCTCAGCCTTGTGGCTTCTGCAGCTGATGGTGCCAGGTGGCAGCACCAGTTGCCTGAGCTGAGGACAGCACCTGTTGCTGAACATCTGGTTTGGGAGCAGGACTACCCACGGCTCCTGCGTCACGGCAGAGCCTATGACAAGATATAACTGTCAGCAAACAGCCCCATCCAGTCTCTGTAACTGCTGTCATCTGATGCAGGAGAACAGCACAGGATAGAAGTTTACAAAGTAACTCACATGACAGCATGATTTACCTTTCAGTCCTGGGAAGCCAGGCTCTCCAGCTGCTCCTACAAAATACAAGAGGAAAATGCTCATCACAGATTATCCAATGCAAATGAATTACTGTGCCTCTACAAATGGCTGCTCCAGCCCCTCAATATGTCTTAAATGTACAAGAGAGACTGTCAAGAGGTGCAAAGCTGCAATGCTTAGCTGAGTGTCCCAGGTGGTGCTGCTGCCTGAGCCTGGCTGCTCTCTTGATCAGCAGTATCTCTCAGGAACAGCAAGCATAGCAGGATACAGAGGTGAGAGAGCTGCTTCTCCATCTCTTGGAATGTATGGGGCTTCACAATTCCATTTCAGTGACTTTTTGTAGGGGCTTTCTGTTTTTGATCAATAGGGATTGTCAGGGTTTTTCAGTGGTTTTGTCCATCTCCTGAATTTCAGTTCAAGTCTTGGGTGCTTTTGGCCAGGAAATACCTTCATATTCAGGATGTAAAAAGGGATGTCTTCCCTGTTAGTCAGCTCTGCTCAGTCCCTACAGTTTCCTTGTGCTGGCAGCTGGATTCTTGAGAAGAGACACTTTTCCAGTATTTGCAGCACATGTCCTGCTGAAGGTCCTAAGCAAGCCTGGGCAGTGAAAGCCAGTTTCTCAAAAGACATGGTCCTCTTCAGAGATTCATCCTATTACAGAGGAAACCTCATCCTGTGCCATTGTTTGATCTTGTTCTTGTGGTCAGGTGGGCACTGCACACCAAGTTGAATGCTGAAGGCTGCTGAAAGCAATGATGTGCCTAGGCCTGAGCAGCATTAGCCATTAGCAGGGCTAAGCCAGAGTAGATTTACAAGATGGATCGTGACTAACACCGTCAGTATTATTTACCTAAAAATAGATGACAAAGATGCTTATGCTAGCTGTTTGTAACCTTGTGTAGCTATCTGCAAGAAACGTATCATTTTGAGAAGCTTTTCCAACTGAGAGGCTTGTTTGTAAGGTATTTTAGGGGAAAACCCTCGCAGCCAAGACCTGGACTCTGAGCGCTGGCCCTGGCTAAGCGGGAAGCATGCCATCAGATCCAGGCATTCCTGAGCTAAAAATAAAATCAAGTCACTTTGACTTGCAGATTTGGGCCTATAAACACTGGACTCTCTTTCAGGATAAATCCAGAGACCTCATCTATGGGTGGACACACCATGTAGGATTTTCCCAGTTGCTGGGAAGGGTTGTCCAGGTCCTGTGTGAAACAGGGCTCCCCAACGACTGGATGATGTTAAAGTATTTAAGCAATTAGTAATGTATCCTTCTAAATCACTATCCTGCCTCTTGTATAGTAATGATTAGGTGGATTACCTTGCTAATTTCTGCTTGTTGCCAAAGCGAAGCATATAGTTTTATTGAATGTATTATTTTACTTTTGTGTTACCTTTATAGTCATAGTAAAATAAGACCATTCTTTCCATTGGTATTTTCTTTAAATTGCCCCTGTCAATTGGCAGAACAAGCACTCAGCATAATACCTCTGCATCAGACCTGGGCTGAAGCTCCACAGAGAGCTCCAAAGCTCCTCAGAGCTGGGGGGCATTTGGGCAGGCTTGTGCTGGAGGCAGGTTAGGGTAGGAGTGGGGAATGGGGAGAGGTCTGATTTGAGGGTCAGTGAGAAATTTCGAGAAGATTGGTATCTTCTTCTCTGTTGTGGTCCCAGACACTCAAGGACACTGTTTCTAGTGTTCACTCCATGCAAGAGCCATACCCCAAATCAGGCTTTTCCTATGCTACTTCAGCACCGTTTCTTAGCCTATGGCCAGTCCTGCAGTACATCTCTATAGACCCAGTCTCCCAATGCATGTCCCGAGCTTGGGGGCATTTACGGATTAGAGCTGCATATGTTACACATTACCTTTTGCACCAGGTGGTCCTGCTTTCCCAGGTAATCCCTGGTCTCCCATTTCTCCTGCAAAGAGACTCATTTTTTATGTGCACATTACAAACTGATCAGAGGGGGAGTCACAGAAGCCTGGGCAACTAGGCCTTGGCTTTCACAGAAACAAGGGAGCCAAGGTAATCAGATCCAGTCTTGTAACCTAGTTTTACTCTTTTACCTTATTCCTCTTTTTCTATTGAAGCCTTACTACACTGCTACTGCCATTCAAAGTCTAAATTTGCAGTTCACATATGAATTCGTATGAGCTTTGATACATCGTGGAACCAGTCTATGGATTCTGCTATGGTGGATCATCTCGCTCAGCAGATGCAATTCACCTTCTCTGTGAGTTGGCTGTGAAAACTCTGAAGGAGCCCCATCTGCCTTGCTCCCTGGAATAGAAGTTGCCAGTACCTTTCCAACACTGTTCCCCAAAAAACAGGCAGAAGCATCTTGGCCTCCCTCCCACCCAGGCTGTTGAATAGAGACACAAAAAATAAATGGATCATTTTCTATAGAAGAAATGAATGAGATACTTCATACCCCAAGATCACATCAGATTTGTGACAGGACTCAAGGAAGAAACAGGTCACTCCATGTGTACCAGCATATGTATAATTGGGGTGTTTTCCACTCCAATTCTCCAGTTCCTCACAGCAGCCAGTGCCAGGCCAGCTACTGCTCCAGCCTCAGCTTGCTTCTCCTATCCGAAGCAACAAAACCATCTCATCTCACAGTGCTCATCACTGGCTTTGGGGGCCTCACCTTTTGTTCCTGGGAGACCTGCTTCTCCTTTTGGGCCAGAGATGCCTGGGATCCCTGGACATCCTTGAAGAATGGCAAGTCGGTCAGCATCACGCAGTCCCACTATTCTCACCTCTGAGAAATGAAGACAGTATTTGTGAAGATTATTAAGGCTCTGAAATGTCTTGGAGAGGAAACCAAATCCTTTGAAGTTGAGGAAGTGTAATCAAAAGCAATGAGTATGGAAGTTTCAGGGTGTTGTATGGATTGACAGATGGCATTAAGGATCTCACATATTAGAGGAGCCAGACTCTGCATCTCTCTGGCTTCAGGGGAGTTCAGTAGGAGAGGAGGCTGATATATATGACATTGCATGCATGACAAGTACACTGGTAGTTAATAAAACAAAAGCTGAGAGGTGCCCCAATGGGCTACTGATAACAGAGTAAGTGACACTGATGGATCTGTGGACAGTAAGGGTAAGAGTTCTTCTGAATTTCCTGATGGCAGGCATGTTTGAAATTGCCCCAGGCTGTCTTGGGGAATACAGTCAGAGCACTGTGCTGTTCAGCATCCCCAGACTGATCCTTTGTGTTGCTCTGTAGCCTTTGGTAACTGCACAAAGGCCCTACTAAAAAAAACCCAAACATGGGGGAAAACCTCACTGGAGAGTATCTGTTCCTAGACACCCCACTGGTGAGGGAACAATGTTACATCACTAGTTGGAGCCAGTAGCTTTCTTAAGCAGCTGCTGAGTCTTCAGCCTGAACCTTACTCTCTTCCCACTGGCAGCTGAATTAAAAAAAACACAGAAAGAAAAAAAAACATACGCTACTTCTCCCCCCTCCCTTCCCAACCTCCTTCTCTTACAGGGGAGATGAAACAGGCTGTCTCAGTGAGACGGCAGTAAGGTTTGTGCTTTACTCACCTGAGCAGGTGTCTTCAGCATCACAAATAGTCACTCTTAGGCTGAGCAGTACCAAAAGGGCTGGGGCTGCTGTCCCCATGGCCAGTGCTGCTCTCTGCACAGCTCCTCTCAGCCACTTCCCGGGTGCTGTGGTCAGCACTGACCCATCCAAGCATTTTATATCTAACAAACAGCATCAGTGCAAGCTCCACCTCTGTACTTGCCCACTGGCTGCTCTCAGGTCTGCGACCTGGGTGAGTCTCAAGCTGTTTCGCGGATAAGCTGCTTTCCAAAAGTCTGATGGGAAAGTTCTTGCCTGGCTGCCCCAGCCTGCCTCACCTCTGTCCTCTGCAAATTTTGGATGCCTTTCCCTTGTCACACTGTATTTCTAGATAAAATGAACCAGAAAAACCATATTTACCTAAGTGTAGACAGCTCCCCTCATCCTCCCTGCTAGTAGCCCTTTATGAAGAGCAGAATTTACTGTGTAGATGGGAAAACTGAGGCACTGGGAGTCAAAAGCCCAAGGTCACCTGAGGCCAGTGATAGAGAGAGGGTACACAACCTGGATCACATTCCAGTGCTCTTCCTGTCAGCCCAGCACTACTTCTTGCCCTTCAAGCTTCCATTTGTACATGATTCATGAATAACAGAGTTCAAACTCAGGCGAGGGTAGCTAGACAGAGCATGTTTGATTCCCCCCTGCCCCTGAATAGTCCATTGTATTAGTGAGCAGGATTTCTGGTTTCTTTCACCCTGTGCTTTGCTCATTTCTGGCAGTGTTACTAGAGGTCCAGTTTGCTTCATCATATTATTTTCAGACCTAGAACCTGTAAAGTTTATGAATTTTGGCAGTGGGCAGAACTTAAGTTTTTCCTCCTTATTGTTACATCCCAGTTCAGAGGAAACGGATTATTGGAGATTTTTCCCAGGATATCAGAGACAGAATACAGTTACCCCTCAAGCATTTCAATCATAAGGTGCCTCTAACAGCCCAACTTCTAATGATACATGACAGTTTAATGTTACACAGATGGAAGAAGGTGAGGGAGAGGTATTTGCTGCTTAAATTCAGCATCCCCCATATAGCCCAGATATAGACTCATACGCATACTCTTATTCATATATGTAATAATATAAAATAATAACCCAGTAGGTGTTGCAGTCATTTTGATTCCTAACAAACAGTTCTGGCAGGGAAATGCACCCCTTACTTTCCTTCTCCCATCTGGAAAAATTGCAGGAAAATCAAAGGAATTTTGACAGGATGGGCTGCATTCAAGTTGGGGTTTTGCTTTACATGGGAAAAAGCATCTCACTTGTGGCTACTGCTGTGTTGCAGTTCTTGGGGCAAAATGAGATCAAATCCTTTCTTGCTTCAGGAGGAAGCCTCCCAGAAGGAAATAGAAAAAGGATTGGCAGGTGCTAGGGAGGGAGAGATCCATGCAGGACAGCTCTAGGGTGACTGGGAACTGTACACCTCTCTTTTGTCATCTGTACAGCCTGTGCTGTCGATCTGCAGTGGACTGGTGTCTGGACTATGGGGCAGGTTGTGGTGATGTAGAGCCAGCCCCCTGCGCTGAGCAGCCTTCTCCTGCCCAGTGCCTCTGCTCTCTTTGTAGAAACATCTGCAGTACCTTGTTTCAACTTGGAGGCAAAAGCTGCTGCCTTCATCTGTTTCCTTTTTGTAAATGACTCCAAAAAGCAAAGGCCTTGCAGATTACACCATAGTTAACGGTCTCTCTAGGACTCCAGGCTAGATCTGTCCTGACAGATGTAAAAATAAATAAAAAAGTTTTGCCCAGCTTTTTCCAGGTCCTCTATTAGCAGGTTCCAGCTCTGGGTTGGGCTGAGAATGTATGGTATGAAGGCAGCTGTGTGTATCTGCCCAGAACTAATGCATCCCCCTAAGTGTTACCAGCTGTGGGCTCCATCCAGCCTGGGGGGCATCAATATCTCCCCACTTTCATCTGGGAAAGCAGCAGTGTCCTTGTTGATGCAGCTACTTTTGGGAGCAGGGAGGAGACTGCCAATGAACAAGCTTAGTCCAAAGTAGGTCAGACTCCCGAGGGTAGATTTTGAAATTGGCACAGAGATCAATATGTCCTTAATTGCTTTTCCTCATGCCAGTACCCAGTGAAGGTTGCAGACGGCTGACTAGGTTTGAAAATATACAAAGGTCTTACGTCAAAGAACATCCCGACTTCAGATAATCTTGACATATTCCACATTTTGCAACACAAATTATTGAAATTCAGTTTCCCAGATGCTTCAAGGTAGAGAAGATAGCTCAAGATAAGGTAACTCTCAGCTTTTTTTCTAAACCTACCCACCCATCACAAAAGTAACATCCCAGCTGCATTGTGATATGTAATATGTGGCCTGACTATAGCTCTATAGCACTGGCATGCTATGAACCAAGACATACACCTTTTCAAAACCACAAACTCACATGTGCTGGGTTTCTCCCTCTCATGCATAAGGCTCCAGAGCTCTAACATGCAATTTTACTAGCAAGCCACGTGCACATAGTCATGTCGTTTCTAAACCAACATTTCCATCAACTTCAGTATAGCCCCCAACCAGCCCAAAGGCCTTGCAACGTAACAAACTGGGTCCATTCAGCCTCTGCTTTGATTGTAGGGTGTGGGGTTTTAATCTACTCCCAAGTCCCTTTTTTAATGATCCTTGCCTGATCCCTTGTTATCCCACTGCTATCATACCTCACTCTTGATTTAGCTTAGGCAGCTCAGAGACAGTGATACCTACTTTGCCAGCTAAGATGTGGACTTCAGATCTTCAAAGTCACTTTCTGAATTTCTTCTAGAAGGAGGAGAGCACCTTCTCATTTATTTTTTGTACAGAGGAAGCCTATAAAAAAAACCTGCAAAAACATAATCTCCTACCTTCCTTGTTTTAACAGTCTGTATTCTCAATTAGAAATCCACCTTGATTTCTTGACAGAAAGAGCAAAGACAGACCATTCAATTGATTGCAATGTCTCTGAAACAGCAACCAAACTTGTAGTTACATAAATGCACAATGAACGTTTCTGTTTCAGCTTTAATACCTTTCTCAGTCCCCAGTCCTACCCATAAACTTCAAGTCATCACTGCCAACCTAGATGCTGTTAGATTTCTGCTTATTTGAGAAGATGGATTGTGTATAAAGAAGTAATACTATGTAGCACAGTATAAATACAATTTAAGGAAAAATATTTCAAACATACTTTTGCATACATAAAAAAGCAATGAAAAAAAGCTGTTACTGGAAAAAAAAAATCCCGCCTTCTTTCCGGGAAGCTGGTGGTTGTGTTGTTGGGTTTTCAGGGCCTTGCAATCCTAACAGTGAAAGTGCTATATCAAAATCACCTACTGAAGTAATTTCTGAAATCAGGGGATTCATTGTGCCAGCACAGATCAGTATGGGAAGCCTTAAACTGAGAGTTTGCTTCTCTTGAAACCTAAGGAGGCCATCCTGCTAAACACAGCATTTTCAGCTTTGTAAAATTCACGCCTGTGTGATGGCCAGGAGCTGTTACTCTGGAACAAACTACTCCTGTTTGAAGGTCCCCAGAAGAATGCCATCTACACCCCTTGGCTGTTTGCAGTGATCAAAAGTAAGGACAACAGCCACCTTTGTTAGTGTATGGGCTGTTGTCATATTAATGGAAAAGCAGCCAATATGAAGATGGTTTCATTCAGCGGGGAACACCTCATCTTGGTATTTATTAGCAATAGCTGTGAACATTTCTTAAAATAAAACAGGTTTAAATAATATCCTTAATGCCATGCATGCTTGGGCTAGCCTCTTCTAAAAGGACCAAGAAAGCAAGTCTACTCCTTTTGTTCTTCCTACCCAGGCCTCATCCACTACAAAAATTTTCTGAGCTCATTGGTAAAGCTTTCTATGCATTTCAGTTATAGTAATTCCAAGACAAAATCCAAAATTATTCCAAAGTGAAATACAGGAGACTGTAGAAAATGTTACATAGAAATCAAATGTCTCCTTCATCTTCTAGAAAAGTAGAGGCTACTTTATATTACAGCATGGCTCACTGCTGCTCTGGAGAAAGGCATACTGATCCTTCCAGGAATGAGTGACTTACCAGGAAATAGAAAATTAAACTATTTCTAGAACTGCTCACTATAATTAATTCAATAGGTTTACATTGGTCTAACTTCCACAATCATTCACTTCCAGGATAACTGCAAGACATACCTCTGTCGCCCTGATTTTATAAGACT